TTTTCTTTCATTCTAGGTAACAGTAACTCTGTAGCCCAAACAATAATTTTAGCTTTTAGATTGGAAACCTATAACTATTGACTTTTTCTTGTACTAAGGATTTATTGTGTATGCCTATAACACCTGCAATTCCAGTGTAGATGTTATGATGACTTCTCTGATACAATTGCATTTATTTTAGATCCAAGTGTCCCCTAAGAAGTTTCAATGGATTTTCCAGTCAACCTGGTCAAAAGCAGAAAACATACATTTTTTGCAATGTTGACTATTCCATGCATTGTAGATATAAATGTGATAATCCTTTGGGCTTGCCTCAGTCATCTTTTCTAGGGTCTAAATTTTAATAACCCATAATCTTCAATAATTTGGCTCTATGACCATGTGTAAAAATGGTTCTCCAAAAATGTGAACTCACATAATAAAATAAGTACTTGCTCCAAATTAATTTAGTTAGGTCTATGGATCTTTAAGCAAAATCAAAATAGCATAGTAAACTCTTACAACTAATATTAACAATAAATTAATTAATAATATAAAAATGTTATTAGTATTAACTTATTTAATTGAAAATACACCTAGAACTTTTTCAATAATATTTTTATAAACTATTAAGGATTTCATAAGTATATACAATGTGGTTTGATCATATTCATTGTTTGCACATCCCATTAATTCTTCCTGGATCCCCCTCAGACATATAAAGACTTTCTACCATCTTTGTGTCCTCTTTTTATTTTATTGTTTACAATCCAGGGATTTCAGTTTGTGTTCTCCATATACTCATGATTATAGTGACTTCAAATGGAGTGTGATTGACCTACCAGGGGCCAAACCCTTAAAGAAAACCACCTCTCCCTTACTAGAACCCATCATTCAGCAATAACTTCTCAGCGCTGGGAGCTTAAGAGCCCCTACTCCTACTGTTGAAATGTTGACAGTCTAGATTTTTTCCAAATTTTGTCAGAACAACTTTTCTTTTACAAAAAAATAAACTTGTTTAGAAAAGATGGTGATAGCTCAGTGTCCAATGAATCTAGAAGAAATTACTCACAATATTGAGTTCTTTCATATTTCATTTCTTTCTATGTTTTCTTTGATAACTTTCTGAAAAAGTGCTGCTAATTTTCTTGGTTTTATGAGATATTTCTATAATAAATTTATCAATTGTTAAAATAACCAAATACTTATTACAAGTTTTCAGATTAATTGCATTCAGATGTTTTGGTATTTTGAAACACTATGGTTTTACATAGTATTTCCCAATCAATTTATATTGTAAGGATAATTATTATATAACGTTTTAGAAAAGTTATTACTCTTGAGAGAATAATCTACACAAATGGAGTGTGAATTTTTATTTGTTACTAATTATTTTAACAGATGCTTGATACTAAACTCCCATCACTCAAAGCTAATCACCTTACTTTATGTAAAGTAAAGGAAGAAACTTTTCATGCATATCAACTGCTTGATAGATTTTTATTATAAATTGCATGTTAAGTCTTTATTTTACAAAGTTAATAAAAGCTACATGTATTGAAGTTTATTAACTTAGCTGAAATAGTAAAATAATTTTCATGAAGTAAGGTCTATCAGGATATTCACTGCTCTTTTTCCAGAATCTACCAGGATACAGACTAGCTCTCCTCCAGAATCTATTGTTAGCCAGAATTTCAATAGGGAAGGGTGGAGTCCCATGATATCTTCCCCTATCTATGACTGGCTGTTGACAAACATTTTGCAGACCAAGTATAGATAACCTAAGCTGCTGTGACTTCATGATTTAAATGACTACATCATATACAGAAGATGGAAATTAGAAGCCCCTTTATCTTCTGGCTTTTTATTCTCTTTATACCCTCGTCTATAATGTTCTCTGAACTTCAGAGGGGACAAATGTAGGGGAAGCTGTAGCCATGCCTTCTTAGGGGCTGGGGGAATTGTAGGGGAAGCTGTAGCCAGCCCCTAAGAAGGCATGGCTACAGCTTCCCCTACAGACATATAAATGTACTTTCTAGAGATGGGCACCCAACCATCATTTAACCACTTTTCACTTCTCAGAGAAGCTCCTCTGATTAAGCCTTAGTGTACATTTGGTGATGGGTATAAACACAGACGCTTAAAAGGCAGTTTGACTGTATGCCAATTTAGCTGAACAACAGTAATAAGCTCCCTTCCAGGGATTCTCACAGTCATGTATATTTAGTTGAGATTACAGTACAAGGCATGGGAGATCCTATGAAATGGATCTCAAATACAGCCAGAGAATACTGGCTTAACTTCATAGTAGCGATATCCCCATTGCACAAATGGGCACATATTTACTAGTTCATTTGTATTATAGTTCATAGGGTTCACAGATGGGTGAGACCATCTTTTCTCCCCCAATGGCCTGCATAGCATCACTTGAAAATTTCCCCTATAAAGAGTAAGCTTCCAGCTCAGTTAAAGGTTGAATGCTCTACTATATCTTGCAACCAACACACGTGGAATCTTTAGTAATATTGTTTTATTATTCAGTTCTTGTGGGAAACCAAGAGAAATGGCAAGAGTTTATATTGTTTTGAGGGTCTTTAGTTTATCACTGGCCAAAAACTCATATGGAGGTATCTCACACTTGAAAATTAGGATTTTTGTATAGTAACCCACACCATCTTGGAGCATCATTATCTAGGTAATTGATTATTATTGGTTTACTTAATAATTTTCAATATATAGCCATGTGTCTACCTTCTTCACACTCAACAATATAGAAGAGCTTCTTTCTATTTATGCTGAACTTTTCATATTGCCTGAAAGATTGATAGTCACTATTTCTCAAATTAATGAATCATTGAGAGTTATCAATATGAAAAGTAAATGAAATATTAATGGAAATTTCAAATAAAATTTAAACATTACAAGAGGCAGCAAGAGATTCGGAGATTGAAAAGTAGGGCAAGAACACAGCTATGGCTGCGGTGATGAACACATTCCTTAGTTTATTATTAGCATACATCCAGCTTTTTATTTCACCTAGACTTTCTAATATCAAAATATGATATGAACATTCTCTTCAGAATAAAAAAAGTGTCTCAAAGGAACTTTGGCTTGCATATTTGTTTACCTGGGAGAGATTTTTCATTAATACTACCATATAGTAACACATTCCTTATTCACAGAAGTTAGGAAGGGAGACTCAAAGGAATGGAGAGCAACATAAAAAAAATATGGTGTGTGCTGAAAACTGTCACTACGAATTAACATCTATCCTTAGTTTGCTAATGCTCCCACTCAAAACCACTTATTAAGTTGTCAGTAAACCTAGGTGGGCACATTTGGCCTAGAAATACTACTTTCTACTTCCTTAACTTGCTTCCCTTTGGAATAACTTTTTATGTAGAAGATAAAACTTGTGTACCTTGAAATACATATTCTGGATTCCCAGAATATCAGTGTTTGGTTTGGAAACAGAACCAATGATGTGGTAAGAACACATCCTGAAACCTCAGTCCAGAGCTCTTTCAAGTCCCAGAGCCACATCAAGGCACAAAACTCATGCTTTTCTGATGCTTTTATTACAGTAGAGCTAAATTATGAGACATGAAGCAGAAGAATGAGATTGTGCTAGTTGTAGAAGAAACAGTTGGAATGTGGTTGATACATAGACTCTACCACATGGTATCAAAATAAGTTAAGAAAATATTCTTGGATCCTTCATGATTGCCCACACCTAAAATTACAGTAATGTGGAGGATGAGGCAGGAGGATTGCCATGTGTCTGACACTACTTTGATCTACACAGTAAGTTCCACATCAGCTTGGAGTGATACCCTGGCACAAAACAATCAGATGAAAGAAAATCTTGATATCTTCTGTATCTTCTGTGAATGTCAAATAGTTGAGCATATTAGAGTCTACATCAGGGATAATTATACTCTATTTCTAAGCATCTCATTATTTTCTATTTTGCAGATAAATAAATTAGTTCTCCAGTGTTTTGCACTATATACACATTACTAGACATCTTTATTTATTTTGTAATATGTTGTTAGTAAAACGCAAGCACAATTGCTTTCTTAGTTGTCATTTTAAAGTCCTAGACCTTGTATTTATCTTCTTTATTGTATAAAAATAATTTAATGATTTAATCACACATTATATGATATACTATAATTGTAATTTTCAAATGCCCATTTCATTAAAATTTTATTTTGCACACAAGACCTATAAGTCCCTGCTGCTACAGAAAATTGACAGTCTGGTAGCAATATCTGCCAATAATTTTCAATTAAACCATTTCACCCATAATATATCACAATAATCAGATGGCAAAGAGCTTCTGATTCATTCACAATGCAGCATCATGATTATGAGAGCATAGGAGTTCACCTCAGTCCCTGCCATGTTCATTCTCACCAGAATAAAGCCATACTTATGGATAAGTGGGTTTAATATGGATCTATTCATGGTTTGGCCCATTATATTCTTTTCTTGGAACCCTCTTGCTCAGGGCAGAGAGAACAGGCAGGCTCCAAAGGCACTGCAGAATGATGGAAAGCAGTTACTCAATGTCTCTATCTTTCTACATTAGTGATTTGCAAACGTGAACCATGTTTTAACCTATTTACTACCATTTTCTTTCCATTGCTTCTCCATCATCCAAAGTAATAGTAGAAGAGGTATAAACATGACATGGGCATATACTTCTATCTACAAAGTACTTACAATGTAATGCACCCTCAGCACACGTTCTTACTCACTTGGAAGAATCACTGCCATGTGGATTTCATTAACTAATCTTAAAGATAAGGGTTTTTAATTCATTGAAATTAAGAAAGTCGAAGAAGTTATCATGATATTTCCCAGTCATTCACACAGGGGAGGAGCCTGTCCCCGTCTGCTTCTTTTTATGATGGATCCATATGCTTTGGGTGGAACTAAGTATTATTGTGTTAATGAAAACTGTCAAAACAAACATACAGAAGTACTATACGATCTTACATGAAAATATAAAAGCTGTGCTCACTTTGGCAGCACATACTAAAATGGAATGATACAGAAAATATTAGCATGGCCCCTTCACAAGGATGGCATGCAAATTTGTGAAATGTTCCATATTTTTGCAGTGGAAACTTCCTGGAATCTATGAGGGTGATCCTAGTGAGGCCCTAGTAATGGGGGACATGGAGTCTTAACTGGCCATCTTGTAGCCAGGCAATGATTCTAGTGGAGGGCCTGGGATGCATTCACTTGAATTGTTGGGAGATCCTATGAAACTAGGACAGAGCCTTTCTCTCCACAAACTGACAGTGGGGTGGGGGTGAGGGTGGGGTCCATTGCCAAGGACAACATCCTCTCAATTCATTGAATATGGTGAGGTTGAACAGTGCCTACCCAGTCTTCACCCCTATGATCTAGTCTCTTTGGTTCTGGAAGGTACTCTGCAAGCTACTAAAGGAGTAAAATGAACACTAACCCAGCTGCAGTAGTCTGTCCTGCTTGCAAGATGTGTTGGGGCAATGGTGGCACAGAACTTGTAGGAATAGCCAACCAATGTTTGGTTTAACATGAAGCCCTTGCTAAGATAGGAAATCTATGTTGGATACTTGCTTGGACAGCCAGGAACTGAAGACTGGACAGCCCAAGAACTAGGGTAGAACCAAACTTGAGTGACCTAAAAAAATCAGTGAAATGATTTCTAATGATATTCTGCTATACTCATAGATAGGTGCCTTGTCCAGTTGTCTTCAGGAGAGGTTTCAAGATGCAGAGACCCACAGCCAGACATGATGTGGAGACAGAGTCTAAATTGGAAGTCTCCATCAGGTTCCTCACCCAGGAGTTCTGTGAATCCCATGAAAGAGAGGACAGAAAGATTGTAGGAATCAGGGGATGGAGGAAACCAGTAGAAGAAGGCCCACTGCATCAACTAATCAGGGCTCATAGGGGCTTACAGAGACTGAAGTGGTAATAATGAAATCTGTACAGGTTTGCATCAGGTTTTCTGTATATGTTTTGGATGTTTTCTTGTTTTGTGAGACTCCTAACAGTGGGAGCAGGTTTGTCTCTGTGTCTTTTTTCTGCTTTTGGCACTTCTTCCTTTCTGTTGGGTTGCTTTGCCCAGCTTTGGTGTGAGGGCTTTTGCCTCTTATTATATTTTGTTTTGCCTTGTTTGGGTGTTTTCTCTTGGATGCCTACTTTTTCTGCTGGGAGGTGAAGCAGGAGAGGAGAGGATTGTGGGAAGAATAGAGCGAAGGGAAACTGTGGTTAGGATATACTGGATGAGAAAAAATTACTTTTAATAAAAACGTTGATATCATAGAAAATAAGGGTCTGGTTATGGTTCTCAGGCACTGCAAAGAGTTTCAGGGCATGGATGATGGGTCATGGTTGATGGTACTAAGTTTGAAGAGTCTGGAATCGATCCCTGAATGCTGGCTGTTTCTGCAGAATAAATGTTTGTTGCATTTTCATGCTATTTGAGATCTTTCTTCAGCAATTCTTAGACCCTAACAGTTAGACAGAAGGAATGACTTCTTGTGTGCTATTGAATAGTTGGGAGATTACAGTTAATAAATCAGTACAGATTTCAAAAAGTTACAAGAAAGGGCTTTGAAACTTCTCATCACCAGAAATGATAAATGTAGAAGAAATGTTCGAAGAGATATACTTGCATTGATTTAAGCAGGACACACTGTATTTAAACTAATTTAAACATTATATAATATATGCATGAATCAAAGCACCGCTTGATACATGTTTAACATCTCCATTTTTACAATTTTGTTTTGGTTTTTCGAGACAGGGTTTCTCTGTGTATCTTTGGAGCCTATCCTGGCACTCGCTCTGGAGACCAGGTTGGCCTCGAACTCACAGAGATCTGCCTGCCCATGCCTCCTGAGTGCTGAGATTAAAGGCGTGAGCCACCAATGCCCAGCTTCCATTTTTACATTTTATGTATCAATTAACATTAACTTAATTGTGTATGTGTGTGTGTGTGTGTGTGTGTGTGTGTGTGTGTGTGGAGGAAACTCTCATACACTGTTGGTGTGAGTGTATACTAATGAAGCCATTTTGAAAATCTGCCTGGAGATTTCTAAAAATCTGAAGGTTGTGCTACCATATGAACCTGTATTACCTCTCATTGGCATGCACCCCAAGGACTTCGTAGCCTACTACAAAGACACTAGTACAACAATGCTTGCTGATGATATAATTACAATGACTGAGAAAAGAAATAAACCTAGATGATCTACCAGCTTATCACTAGATGAGGAAAATATGCTGCATATTCACAAAGGGGTTGTATTTTGATGGTAGAAGATATACCTGGAAAATATTGTACTGAATGAGGTCACCCAGACCCAGAAATACAGCTTTACATGTTCTCTTTCATATGAGGGTCAGAGCTTCAGATCTCTAGTTTTGTGCTTTAACCTGGAATCCAGGAAGCCAGAAAAGGGCCTTAAGAAAGAATAATAGTAGAATACAGGTAAAATGGGATTAGGGAAATACTGGGGGCAGAAAGGCATAAGCATGGATCAATATGGTCAAATGGCAGAAACAAGGGACCCAGAGAGGGCTTACAGAAAACGAAGAGTGGGTGAAAATGCCTCTCTGGAAATGTACTATCTTGAAACCCAATTAAAAACATAATTAGAGTGGGAAATAGAACAGGTGTGACATGAAAAGAGTGGAGGGGCATTGGGGGCTAAGGTTTAAATAGAGGTGAAGGGCAGGGGGAATGGAAGAGAGGAGGGAATAGGGTATTGGTTAATCCTACTAAGTGTATTAGTTGATTTTAGAGTGCTGTGATAAAATAGCAGGACCAAGGCAACTCGGAGAAGGAAGGGTTTATTTGGGGTTTGCAGTTCCAATGGGCTGGGAACCCATCATTATCAAGAAACAGGCAGACATGGTGCTGAAGCAGTGGATGAGAGCTCACATATAGGTCCACAAGCAGAAAGCAGGATCACTAGAAGTGACCTGAGTCTTTTGAAACGTCAATGCTGTCCCCAGTGACACACCTCCTCCAACAAGACCATATGCCCAATCCTTTCCAAATAGTTCTACCTAGTGAGGACCAAGTATTAAAACATATGAACTGATGAGTACCATTCTCATTCAAACTACCGCACTAATGAAAATCAGAAAAAGTCTTATGGGAGCTCATTAGTTTGCATGCTAATCACAAAATATAATAAAAATGGAGTTTGGACAGCAGTGCCCTGCATTGGTGGACAGTGCTGTTCCCCAAAGTTAGGATATTAAATGAAAATCTCAGTGTTAGACATTCGATACCTCTCTATGAGTGTTTGGTTAGGGAGGCCCTAGAAATAATCAAACAATGTAGAATATTACCATTGTTCCTGGTTTGCCACCACAACTAGATGGTAAGTCAGTGCTACAGATACCACACACTTGGGTTGTAGGTAATAGAGAAATCAGTCTCAAACTTGGTGGGATATTCCTTCTGATGGATAGCTTTCATAGTGACAGAAGATGCTGTGAAGGTTTCTAGGGTAGAAAATGCATCAATAAACTCAGTCAGTGTTGAGCCTTCATGCCATAATACTGAACTGATGATCAGGATGTGTCTACTTATGCCGTGTGGCATTACCGTTATGGTAGGATCTAACCGCTTTCTGATTGTATTTGAGAGCTACTCCACAAGGGGAAAGCTATGCATGGTACTATATGCCTGATCTGAAGCCTATGGCTAAAGAAGTCATAGATCCCAGAAGGGAATCTGCTATTGTTTAACAAAATGTCAAGCTGCCTTCTAAATAGTTTCCAAATATTTATTCTATTCCTTCCACTGTGACTTTTAATGTTGCTGTTATTGTACCTCTCTTCTCTTCAGTTGCTGGCTCATAAGGGGCTTTGTCATTTCTTTCAAATGGATTTTAAGATTTGGCATTTATCATTGGTATTTTGATGTTAATTTTTTTGCTATATATTTACCTTTGAGCTTGTTTTTCCTTTTTGGCAATATATATACTTCTCAGAACTGGTTATTTATGGTTTAAATTGACAAAAAAATAATTCATTAATTCATTGGCCAAAAATAGTGTCCATCTTTGTATTGCAGAAACATTATAGGTTTGCCTTTCACATTTAGGAAATTGTTACAGCTATAACTAACTTTTGATTCACTACAAAGTACTGTGTGTCTATTATGAACACTACAAACCACTTGTGGTTTGATTAAGAATGCTCCCAGAGACTCATATATTTGAATACTGGTTTGTGGAACTCTTTTGGAAGGATGTGGAGGTGTAGCTTTGTTGGAGGAGGTGTGTTACTAGGGGTGGGCTTTGAGGTTTCAAAAGACTGGAGCCATTACTAGTCCTCCAACCCCTCTCTCCTGCATGGCTGTGGATCAAGTTGTGAGTTCTCAGCTGTTCTTTCATTCAGCCATCATGGACTCAGCCCCTTTGAAACCACAAGCCCAGTAAGACAATTTATTTTATGTTACCTTGGTCAGTGTGTTTCATCCCAGTAATAGAAAAGTAACTAAGACACCATTCCATTATAAAAATATGTAACAGCATTTACATGATGTGGTAAAAATTGGCTGGAAAGTGGAAGGAGCAGAAAGAAAGATCTACAGTGCAGTATATAATTCTCACCTAAACATAAAGGTGTTTTAAACACTGTTGATTGGAATCTAAAGTCTCCTGGACATGCTATCCTATTACTGATGCTGTTCAGTACCTGAGCAGTGAGTCTTTGCTCTGTTTCTTGATGTTGAGTGATTTGTTACGAAGTTATGAATGGTGTCACTTTTGTTATTAACCTCAGCTCTCCAGTCAACTGGCAAACTGGCCCTGGGAAAGACTGGCAGGGAATACACAGCCACAGCCACAACTCAGAGCCACAATCACCCCATTCCCTGCCCTTCTCTCCCACTTTACCCTGTGTTCATAGGAGATGACCTATTCTGGCTTTTCTCTTGGTTTACTTTTATATACATTTCTCTTTATGATTAATAACCATGACTTTGCAATAATCTTTCATTTGCCACTAAGCCCTCCTATTTTGTTTTGCTTCAAGGGTGTTCTGGCTTTGAGGGAAGCCTTTTACCTTTTAATAGCAATTTTCAGCTCAGAAGCCCACTAA